CTTTCGACGTCAAGCGTATAAGCCAAGGGACATTTTTGGTTAATAACGGCTCGAACATTTCATACCCCCACCATTTTGAAGAAACTTAAAAATTAAAAAAAAACAAGCAAAAAAGCAGGTAAGTTCAGACAGGCCAAGCTTTTAATACCCTCCAACATTGGGAAGGAACTTCAAAATTTATAAATACGAAATTTGTTACAATTCCGGTGGTGATAATGTCGCAAAATCATTAAAATACCGGGTATGGGGATCACATGGGGGCTCTACGAAGTCTTGGGCCGACAAAAGACATTTTTTGCCTTGGGTTTTAGTACCCATTAAGACCTTCCAATATGAAATTTGAAACGATTCCGGTGAATAATGTTGCTGAAATCATCAAAATACCGGCAATTGGGGGTACCGTTATATGGGGGCTATACGAAGACGTGAACCTGCATACAAAATTTTTTGTCATAGGCTGTAGTACCCACTACGAACATTAAATACGAACGCTGAAATCATTCCGATAAATACAAGGTGAAGTAAAAAGAACTGCAACAAAGTCGAACGACATAATTTTTACATTTTTTTAAATTTTATTGAATGAAAGCAAAAAATGTCGGAAATACCATCAAATTTTAGAATAACTTTAGATTTGTTCCTATTGGTTACATTTGGCACGAATTATGGCCTTCAAATGGACAATGAAACCGTCACACGCTGTCCGAATGTTGCTCTGCGGTTTTTTTGCCCATTCCCGGCGAAGCGCTTGCTTGAGGTGATCGACACTTTGGTATTTTTTAAGTGCCAACCTTGCTTTCCAAAGTACTCCAGACACAATAGTCCAACGGATTGGTATCCGGAGATTTTGGTGGCTATTGTGCGCTGGAAATGAAGCGAGGAACCTCATTTTGTAACCATTCTTCGGTGGCGCATGCTGAGTGTGATGGTGCTGAGTTCTGTTGGAATATCCAAGGTCTGCGGCCAAAATGTTTGTTGTCGAAGTCTTTAATACACTCTAGAGAATATTTTCGCGATAATATTCGGCATTTATTCTGATGCAACAGTTTATTAATACGAGCGGAGAGCGACCATCGGCTGTTATGGCGGCCCACACCATCACCATGGCCGTCGCTTGAGTTCTGGTGGCCAACCGAAGGTGCACATTTTCAGCTGACTTCTTTGGCAAGTGAACTCCATTATTTTGTTTGTTTACAAACTGCTGAATGTTTTCTAATCGGAGAAAACCAAATTCGGCAGTTCACAATTTTCGGCCAAGCGAAGCAACTCTTTAGCTCATTTGAGTCTATTTTCTTTATATTGCGGGGTATGTTCTTGCCTTTTTTTTTTGGAATGTCAATGCCTCATTTTTCAATATTTGCCAAGTGGAATATTGCGATATGTTCAGCTCACGAGCTATTTTTCGGCCACTGCAACACGGGTTTCGATCAAGTCGCTTCTTTACTTTTCGAACCATTTCTGCTGATGTTGCTGTTTTTTCCATCCACTTCCTTGACTTTGGGCTGGTAGCGTAGCCCAGTATTACGGTAACGAGCACATTTAAATGCTGGAGTGCTCTAACGATAGCGACTTGTGGTTTTCCAGCCAAATATAAAGAAATCACACTATCACGCTTGAAGTTCATCACGAATAACTTTTTTTCTGGAAAATTCTCACCATACGTGACTATACGAAGACGTGGACCTGCATACTTTTTTTGTCATAGGCTGTAGTACCTATTACGAAGTTAAATTTTCAAGTTCAAGTACGATATTTGAACTAATTTCAGTTAATAATATCGCTAAAGTCAACAAAATACCGAAAAATGGCATGTATCGTTATATGGGGGCTATACGAAGACGTGGACCTGCATACTTTTTTTTATCATAGGCTGTAGTACCTATTACAAAGTTAAATTTTGAAATAATTCCGGTAAAAAATATCGCTAAAATCATCAGAATACCGAACATTTAGAGGTAACGTTATATGGAAGCTATATGAAAACGTGGACCTACATGGTCCATTTAAGCTGCTGGCAAAGTACCCATGTGTTCGAAATTTTAGCCCTCTATCTCAATTCGTTCTAAAGACAGCGTGATTGTAACAGACAGACAGATGACTTCGCTAAATGGACGGAGAATTTTACGCTGATCAGGAATAAATATATATATACTTTGTTGGGTCTAACATAAGTATTTCTAGGAGTTACAAACGGAATGACAAAGTAAATATTACTATCCATAGTATGGTGGAGGGTATAAAAAATTGGTTATATCTTCTAGTATCTCTCGCAAGGGTAGTCAAACATTTTAAAAAGAGCAAATTCCAAATAAATTTTTGCTAATATAAAATAAATATATATTATTCACAGGGTTCTTAAAGGAGGGTTTTGCCACTTTTATCCGTCTGGTCTAAATATTGGCTGCCGAAAATTCGCCGCACCACAAGTATCTACCATAATCATGCCATTAGTGTTATCCCGGATAACCGAAAATATCTTCCCCAATCCAGAAAACAAATCCCTATGCTCTTTGTCATAAAATCGGAAATTTAATAAATCCAAAATCAATTTTGCAATTAAATGGATGCAGCTTTTAACATTTGTCAATCCTTTGTCCTTTATCGAGATATAATCACATTACGACGGCATGCACCGAAAACTCTTTGGTAACAATAGCTTACGTAATTGTGTTAACACAGCTATTAAGACCAACTTGTCGGCGCACTGTGTGATGGCCATCTGATGATATCTCACACAACGGTATCAGTGGCATACAACTTGTTGCATGTTGTCCGACAATTTACTATAAAAAACACACAAAAAGTTCTCAACAATTTGTCAGTCTGTGCGGGTAGTGCTTGTTTGCTTGCTTGGTTTTCTTTATGCCATAGATACACGTTCACACACTCTCACTACTCACACACACTCAATGCATAACAAATATTTAGCTATTAATTAATTTATGTTTACATAATAAAATATAAATATTTATAGAGTTCAAGGGAGCAGACATTTATTGTTGCAGTAGGAAGTCGAGGTTTTTTTTTATTCTTTTTCGGTTTTATTTTGGGATTTAGCAGCCTCAGATGATTGATGGTTTGGGCAAAGTATTAGGGTGGATGCGGACAGAATGTAGTTTTGTTTTCTGGTTGTATTTGAATTCGCATCATCCACATTTCTTCAGTAGATATGGGTCAATTAGAGCAACTTTTATTTTTTATGCCCTCCACCAAACTATGGAGGGTATATTAGCCTCTTCATTCCGTTTGTAAATCCTCGAAATATTCAGAATAGACCCTACAAAGTATATATATTCTGGATCAGCGCAAAATTCTAAGACGATCTAGCAATGTCTGTTTGTCTGTTCGTCTGTCTGTCTGTCTGTCCGTTGTAATCACGTTATCTTTTGAATGAATTGAGATAGAAGGCTAAAATTTTTAATACATGTATAGTTTACCAGTAGGCAGGTTAAGTTCGTCAATGGGCCATGTCAGTCCACGTTTTCGTATATCCCCCATATAACGGTATCTCCCGTTAGTCGGTATTTTGATGATTTCAGCAACATTATTCACCGGAATTGTTTCAAATTTGGTATATGAAATTCGTAGTAGATACTACAGCCTAAGACAGAATATTGTCTGTGCAGGTCCAGTTCTTCGCATAGGGCCCATATATCAGTACCTCTCTATATTCGTTACTTTAATGATATTAGCGACATAATTCACCGGAATTGTTTCAAATTTGGTATTTGAAGCTCGTAATGGGTACTACAGCCTATGACAGAAAATTGTCTATGCAGGTCCAGGTCTTCGTATAGCCCCTATATTCGAATTTTTGATGATTTTAGGTAAATTATTCACCGAACTTTTTAATTAAGTTTCTCATTTGAATATTGTAATGGTTTATGACAAAAGTTGCCTAAAGTTCCACGTCGTCGTATAGACCCTAAAATAACGGCTAAATTCGCTATTTTTAAGATTTTAACAGAATTTTCAACGAATTTTATTTTTTTTTTTAAATTTGCCAAAATCGTTCCAAATGGTATTCAAAGATCGGCCCGGCCGAACTTACTGTTTTTTTTTTTAAATTTTCAACTTCCTTCCAAATGGTGGAGGGTGTTAAAAGTTCGGCCTGGCCGAAATTAGTTTCTTTTTTACTTGTTATAATTGAATTAAATACTATCTGTGGTCCTTTGCTAAGTGGCTATTTAATTGGAATTTAAGTAAAAAAAGGAAGTACTCTTTCGTGACGTAATATTTCAAAATCTTCATATGTAAAAGAGCTTCGTGACCAGTGAGTAGTTGAGAACCATAAATGTTGGCAGACAAGATACGGCTGGTTATATGGAAATTCGAAGTAAAGTACCCAGAAAATGTTTAAATTTTTAAAATTTTTTAATGCGATCACTGAGGGTTTTTAGGAGATCTTCAGAACAACTTTTGAAGGCATTCTCTGTGTGGAAAACTTTTGAAAGGTGTACTCTCTATGTAGAAAGCGTTTGGAAAGTATTCTTGAAGGTCTTATATCCGTAAAAGGTCTCTGGCAAGTATTATCTTTATAGAAGACCTTTTCCGTATAAAATCGTACTTTACTATGAAGAATACCTTTAGAAAACCTTCTCTCATTAGAAGGCCTTTAAGCGGTTTGCTCTAATAGATGGTACTTTTCTGTAGAAGGCCATAGGATTGTATTTTTCTGCAGAATGCCATGGGAAGGTTTTCTCTTTTTAGAAGCTATACATAAGAGAGAGAGAGAGAGAGAGGGAAACCTTTATAAGGTCTCCTCTCTCCATGGAAGGCCTTCACAATGTCTAGACCTTTAAAAGGTCGTATCTCTGTGGAACATCTTAAGAAGTTTACCACTCTGCGGAAGGCAAACAAATAGAAGACCAGCAAATAGAATTATTTGGTGTTGTATATATACGTCTCCAATGTTGAGAATATAAGTCGTATTTATTTTCTTGCATTTAGGTAATAAAATTTTCAAATAAAGCACAATTTTTCTTAATTTATAATAATATTAGTTTAATATTATTAATTTATAATATTTGTGGCAGCCCCGTAGTTGTGACCTGAGTTCATTATGTTTCAAAGTCTTCGCTGGGCATTACTGGTTCTCATAAAAATCCACTTGATATTTATTCTCTTCCCTACGCAAACTCCACCAATATGTCAGCCATTCGGCAGCAAAGCCCATGCAACTAATGAATATCCCCACCAGCCACAAATAGAAGGCACCTTGTAGAATATCCAAATTCAGCACAACCTTCTTATGACTTTGCAACGAGGCAGAGGTGGTTGTCGTTCCACCACCACCACCACCACCCACATTCCCAGCACCATCTTCGTCGTAATACAAATCGAAATCATCATCCAAATCTTCGAAGAATTCTTCCGAATTGTGGGTATAGGTGTTCGGTTGTGACTCCAGCTGCAACCAGTGACGCATCAGACCGAATTCATGAAAAGCGCTTATTACACTCTGGAATTTATGAATGAACGGCGAACCTTTGGTCAGAATGTACGACGAGGTCAACGAACGCAGATACTCTTTGACAATGTGATATGAGGGCCGTTTCGTCACATCATTGTAGCTATGGGCCAACAGCTCCTTGGCCATTTCGTCGTGCAGCATCAGGGCCACCTCGGCATTTTTTTGCGTCACCGCAAAGGCAAATTGTTCGACGCGTATATTGGGTGGCACACGCACCCCATGGGCATTGATCCATTCGTAATATTTCGGATTCAGAGACACCTTCACCGCCTCGAAGACAATGTCAAAGGCATAGATGGGCAAATTGAGTTGTGGCAGTTGTTCAAGGCTATCGATTTCAGGTTCATAGGCAGGCTGGACAAAGTTACTCTCAACTTTGGCAAAATACATGCTGGTCAGGACATAGCTGAAGAGAATCCAGGCAATGAGGAATTGACGCAATGAACTAATGCGCGAAAACCCCTCCACTGGTTCACCAAGTTGTGTTTTCCAAAACATTTCCAGCAACTCATACCAATGCCATTTTTGTGTGACACAGCTACCGATGTGTTGGGCCGGTAGCCGGCCCACCAGATGTTGCAGCAACTTGAAGAGCAACAAAACCAAGGCGAAATGCAAGAGTAGCAAACGCCACAGGGAGTAGCTAAAGGCCTTTACGAAAATCAAATATTCCGGTCTCATTTGGGCGGCGGGTACCACCAGATAGAGAAAACGTCGCTGATAGGGATACAGCTCCTCAATGTGTTGTTTGACATGGTCCAGGGTGTAGCGTAGATTGAAACCAATGTGAGTTAGACCAGAGTGGACATCTTTCAAGGCACCCGTAAAAGTGCCATTGATCAGGGAACCATAGGTCTCATTGTCCGCTGGGGTGATATAACGGGCGGTGGCATTCAGGTATTTTACCATGGCATTGGCCACCCTGCCATCTATGCGTTTATATCCTTCCGTGGCATAGTTGGGCAGGGGTATGGCCCGCACCGGATCAATGAACATGGTAATGCGTATTTCAAAATGATGAAAATTTTTCAATTTGTCATAGAAATAATTTTGATTTTCGTCCAAAAGTTTGATGCGAAATCCCTCCGGGGAAAAAGGTTCGAAGGTGTAAACCCTCTGGGAATCCAAAATGGCCACAGCGTGCAAAATATTCTTTTGCCAAATTTGTTGGAAAAATTCATGGAGAACTTCATCAGATTTATCCTCCTCCAATAGCCACACAAAGAGATAGCGGTGTCCTGGTTTCCAACGTTGATGGGCATTGAGAAAATTGGCAACCTGTCTGGCTATAGTTCTCGTGGCTATGAAATAGATGTTCAAACTTCCCATCAGTCGTTCCGGTTCCATGGCATATGAATGTAAATTTCTTATTGTCAAGGGGAATTCCGTCATGCATTGATGCAAGGCATCCACATTGATGCGCCTGTAAATAGTTTCCATGTGCTCTCGGGTAGGATTCCGATAGAGAATATTAATTTTGGCATCACGTTGCTGCACCACATCGCAGATTTTCAAGGCAAATTTTAGTTTTTCTTCCTCTTGTAGACCGCTGTCAAAATTGTCATTATTTTCTATTTTCCAAAGAGAAGTTGCACCGATTCTTAACCATGTCGAAAAAAGACCGATGATTAATCCGATTTGATGATTTTTCATATTCAAAATCTCTCCGCTAACTGTGTTACAAGGTGGTGGTTGAATTCATTCATATAGTTGTTGTTCGACAACTTGTTGCATGTCATCCAACAATTTGTCGCATTCATTAGAACTTGTCCATTGTTTGCTTAACATTGTGTAAGAATTATTAGGGCGACTGTGGTATTTTTCGTTTACTTAATAAAACATAAATATTTATGGTCCTCCGTTAATTTTTGTGGGGGGTCGAGGAGCAGTCGTTCAGACAATGTTGTCTTTGGTTGTACATAGTTGTTTTGGGTAAAAAAAGAAACCGAGCTTGGATACCATTGTTAAATATCAAAATAATAATTTTTGTGAATTTTTTGGGAGAGAAACCCTCTTTATCCGACTTTGGCAAAATATTAACCCATGTTAGATCTGGACAGTAAATAAAGGTAACATTATTTTCGACCGTTGTCCATCCAACATTGAGGCAAATATTTTTATCACATGGAATGGAAATAGAGATTTCTTATCCATGGTGACATATAGTGAAATGTGATGTACAATATTTTTCCCTTTGTCGTCACTTTTTCACATTTGTTGTTTCTTCCAGATTTTTGCATAATCTCACTCATAAAGTACGGATTTAACAATAAGGTATGATTTAAACGTTTTATGTATTCAGACAATAGTAGAATTTTATATTTCGTACTGCTACGATCCCGTTTTATATGGTTTTATCGATATTTTGAAAATAGGCCAAATGCAGCCCTTTGTTAGAGGGTTCAAATCAACGACCTCGTATAACGATTAATCCTCGTATTGTTACCAAAAATCAAAGAATTCCAAGGAATCTTAATGCGATAATTCCAAAAAAATAAGAGGGGGAAACTTACACGCTCGATTTAGGTTATTTTACGATGTAAACTTATATGTGCCATTTAATTTTTGCTCTACTTTGATAATCTGCTAATCTTCTGTGTTGCACAGTGCTATTAACATTTTTGACCCTCAGTGGGAAAGGAACCAAATGGAATGGACCGTTATTGTAGATTTTTGGATTTGAGCTAAGTTATACTACCCAGAATGATAGCACTGTGCAACAACGAAATTGAGGGGAGTGTTGGTAAATTCTATGTGGGGGTGATAGATCAAAACCACAAAGGAATGATACTCTACCCGCAAAGTAGCCCGTATAAAATTTGTTAGCCAAATCGATTGGAAAATGTGGTCCCGACCATCGAAATCGGTAAATTCAGAAAATACCTCTATATGGAAGCTAATCCGAAACATTGAAAATTTTCTGCGAAGAGGTTTCCCTTAGAAATAATGCCAAAAAGATAGATGCCAAAAAAACCAAATCAATTGAAAAATGATACCAAGACCCCGGAAATAGCTGAAATCAGGAGAAACCTTTATATGAGGGTTATACCAAAAACATGGGGCTATATTGACATTTTTTTTTTTTTTTGCAAGGATTGTTTCTTTTTACTGAGAACTCATATTAACAAAATTTGCCGAAATTAAATGAATCAAGTTAAAAAGTATCAGTCGGTATCAGCCGACAGATGTATAACCTCCATCCATGTATTCCATCTTAACAGCAGACCTTGGGTTAATAATTTTATTAGGATGTGTGAAATTTTACATCACATTTTATAAATATTCAACATTTTGACAGTTTGTGTGGGAGGTACTTGATGAAGTGGACCGGTACTGTCCATTTTTGCTACTGATTTGCAAAGTTTGAGCAAATTCGGATCATCCTTTCTCATTCTGTACCGACAATATATATTTCTAAAATATCGACCTTTTGTGGGGAAGGTACCAGAAGGAGTGGACCGATCTATTCCATCTTAAGACCAGACCTTGGGTTACCAAAAAATAATTGGATGTGTGAAATTTAAAGACAATCCGACACATTTTATAAGAGTTATAATTATTCAAAATGTTGACCTTTTGTGGGGGAGGTACTTGATGGAGTGGACCGATACTGCTCATTTTCGTACTTGACCTAGCACTGATGCAAATATTAGGATTTGCAAAGTTGGAGCAAAATCGAATTATCGTTCCTCTTTCTATGCGGAAAATATATTTTTTTAAAATTTCAACCTTTTGTGGGTGAGGTACCAGAAGGAATGGCCCGATATATTCCATCTTAACACCAGACCTTGGGTTAATAAAAATATTGTGATGTGTATAATATGAAGACAATCAGACTGTTATTTCACATTTTATAAGAGTTGTAATTATTCAAAATGTTGACCCTTTGTGGGGGGCCGATATTGTCCATTTTCGCACATGACACAGCACTGATGCAAATGTAACGATTCGCAACGTTTGAGCAAATTATTCTTTCTTATTCTGTGCAGTGTTTTTTTTTTTTTTTTTTTTTTTTTTTTTTGGACCGTGGAAGTGGGCCGATATTGCCCATCTCCAAACTTGATCTAAGTTTCATAATAATATTACGATGTACCAAGTTTGGAACAAATCGAATATTTCCTTTAAGAGTTATCGTGTGGACCAGCCAGCCAGACAGACGGAAGGGAGGACAGACATAGCTAGATCGACTCCAAATGTCCTGAAACGGATTTGGTCCCAAGAAACCTAGGGTCTAAAACCATTATTTCGATGAGACACGTTGTGGTCGTATCAAATGATATATACCCTCCCTAGCCATATGGTTGAGGGTATAAAAATATGTAAAAAATACTTCAAATCGGGGTATACCCCTACATATGGTCTATACGAAAACGTGGACCGGCTTGGCCAATATTTTGTACAAATGATTCTACATGTAACCCATAAATCTATATCAAATATGAAAGGTATATCTAAAACGTTAAAGGTAATTTGTGTATGGTTAAGCTTATATATACAGGGTGAGATACAAAAAAACTGTCAAACGCCATAATTTTTACATTTTTTTTTTTGAATTTTATTGAATGAAATGAAAGCAAAAAATGTCTGAAATAGCAACAAATTTTAGATTTAGATTTGTTCGAATTGGTCACCTTTTGCACGAATTATGGCCTTCAAACGGCCATAATGTGGTATTTTGGACCATTCCCGGCGAAGGGCTTTTTAGAGGTAGTCGAAACTTTGGTATTGTTTAGTGCCAACTTTGCTTTCCAAAATACTCCAGACACAATAGTCCGACGGAGTGGTGTCTGGAGATTTTGGTAGCCATTGTGCGCTGGAAATGAAGCGAGGAACCTCATTTTGTAACCATTCTTGGGTAGCGCGTGCTGAGCCCTGTTGGAATGTCAAAGGTCTGCGGCCGAAATGTTTGCGTGCCCAAGGCTTTAATACAACCTCCAGAATATTTTCGCGATAATATTCGGCATTTATTCAAATGCCACAGTCGATTAATACGAGCAAAGAGTGGCCATCGGCTGGTCTGGCGGCCCACACCATCACCATGGCCGGCGCTTGAGTTCTGGTGGCCAGCCAAAGGTGCATATTTTCAGCTGACCTCTTTGGCAAGTAACCACGATCATTTTGCTTGTTTACAAACTGCTTGGCAACGAATGATTTCTCATCGGAGAAAACCAAATTCGGCAGTTCACAACTTTCGGTCAAGCGAAACAACTCTTTACCTCTTTTTGTCTATTTTCTTTCTGTTGCGGTGTAAGTTCTTGCACTTTTTGGAATTTCAATGGCTTTACCCCGAGCTCATTTTCAATATTTGCCAAATGGAATATTACGATACGTTCAGCTCACAAGCCATTTTTCGGCCACTGCGACGCTGGGTTCGATCAAGTCGCTTCTTTACTTTTCGAACCATTTCTGCTGATGTTGCTGTTCCATCCTCTTACTTGACGTTGGACTACGATAGCATTATCACGGTGACAAGTGATGGTACGAGACACAAGAGATTTATTCACATTTAATTGCTTGAGTGCTCTAACGGTAGCCACTTGTGGTTTTCCAGCCAAATATAAAGAAATCACATTATTACGCTTTTCCAGAAAAAAGCTATTCGTGATGGAAGAATAACTTTTTTCTGGAAAATTCTCACCAAAATGCTTTTGTATGCCTGTAAACAATATAATGAGCTGTAACTGGAATAATTTTAACAGCAGTCAGACGAGTGACTTAGAAATGACAGCAGTCTGAAGTTGGTTGCAGTTTTTTCATCTCACCCTGTATTTTGTACAAATTATTCTACATGTAACCCATAAGTCTATATCAAATATAAAAGGTCTATTTTACATTTTAAGGCCCTTTGTGTATGGTTAAGCCTACTTACAGAATGGACCCTAAAAAATGTTGGCATGGGATCCAAAGATATTTTGGAATTTTGATCTATAATTTTATATATTGAATACCATCACCCTCACTTTGAATTTCCCACCTCCCAGACCATGACCCGAAAATTTCCGATAGATTATCTTGGATATGAAAATCTATAAAAAAATGGTAACTTCTGCAGCTTTCCCCTCTTCTTACTACCCTTCTCGTCCATGTATTATTTTTTTACCAGCAACAATATACACATATGTTATTTAAACATTATGATTTTCTACACATTCCAATGGATTGATGTCAATGGGATAATGTAAATGTAATGAATAGGCTTTCTATCCTCTCCACCCTTGCCAAACAATATATTAACCCTGCCACCGGGTGTGAACAATCTCAATTTTATGGCACCCTACATGACATCATAAAATCACTTTCGTTTTGGAGAATCATCAATAAGCTGACCGCCCCCCAAAAAAGCACCCAATAAACCAAATATTCCCATCTCAATAAAGATGTGTGAATATGTGCTACTGCACAGTGGGACAAAAAATACGTTATGATCCATATTATTTAAGGTGGCAATGACCGACATGCTTTACAATTTCCATTTCAAAATGTATTCCAATGTGAATTTTCGCGCATGAGGTTGTATGGTGGGAAAGGGGACGATGCCATAAAGCTGTCAGCTTCTAAATTTAAACTCATTGATTGTTTTTCAATCAAATTGATTTGTTAGAATGGGGCAAAAAATACAATGAGCTATTCTTTTGCACATTGACAGCCACCCAAAAATGGGGAGGGGGATTACATTTTTGGTTACAATTAAATATGTATTTTAAAGATACATAGTAGAACACAAAAAAAAATAGATAGCACATTACATTTGCATTAAATGCACATGGTTTTATGAGAGCACGCACATCACCACTTCTAGTCGGAGGTTAGTTAAGAGAACACGCACACACACACATACATGCACACGCCGAAAATATGGAACATTACTGCATGGAAAATATGCGAAATGTATGTCACTGGGTTACACGCCCATCTATCTATCTATCCGCCACCATCCTCCATCGTTCTCATCATCTCCGCAACTAGAATCCATAAGCAATGAACAAATATTGTTCTTCGACCAAAATTATATTTGTTCACTCATTAAAGTGTCTATCTCTCGTCCGTCGTCTTCTTTGTCGCCGAGTTTTTCAATTGACGTGGAAATGGGATTTTTGAATTGTTTTGTTTTTTGTCAATTTAAGTGGGTTCTTAGTTCCTTAAATTATTATTTTTATACCCTCAGCCATATGGCTATAGAGCGTGTATATAATTTTACACGGCCAAAACGTGCCTCCTCGAAATAACGGTTCTAGACCCTAGGTCTCTTTGGGACATATCCGTTTCAGGACCTGTGTGTTGTTTTATGTGAGC